ACACCCTGGCCTAGTGGGGAGGTAAAGCCACTACGGGGTAATTCTAGGTTTCAAACTGCCCCAGTGTCCATGGGGCAATGGTGAGACAGAGCATGGCTGGGGCCAGTGAGGACAGGGCACCTGCGTTGGGCCTGATTCATGGCTTTCCGGGAACAGGGTGCGGGGAGATGGCAAGGGGGGGAACAGTGAGCTGTGGCTCAGAGGTGGGAGAAGAAGGGTGGCGCTTTCCAGGCAGAGGGTGGAGGATGCGGAGGCCCATGGGCCCTGCCTCAGAGGATCTCGAGTGGATCCACCCTGGTCCCGGTGGGTTTGAGCCTCTGTGGACTCGAGCTGGTGTCCCGCTGACAAAGCCGGAGGCCCGAGGAGAGAGCAGACATGACCCGGGAGGCTTCGGCAGGCGTGGAGAGTGCGGTCAGCAGAGGCAACACATTCCGTCTTGGGCACCAGGGGCTGAGGGCCCACTTGGTGGAGTTGACGGGGCCCACGGGGGCACCAGGTCAAGGTGTCCAGGGGCAGTGGAAGCTGAGGGAAGCCTCCATGTCCCCTTCTGTCAAATGAGAAGCACAGGTTGGGCTGCTGCAGGATTCATTTGCAGATATTCCTGTCCACGTGGCCCTGAGCCAATTCCACAAGTGCACAGGACCAGGGGACCCGCGCCTGGTGGACTAGAGGTCACTCAGGAGCCACTGTCCTCCAGCTCTGTTCGCAGCTTCTTGGTGTCACCCCATCTCATGGCCTCCTGGGTTTGGCACGTTGGGGGGCAGTCCAGCATTTCCAGTGTTCGGAATGTCAGACCTCAAAACTGGGTATGGCCTGGAGCCCCTGGGCGCCCCGTTACGATTCAGCAACTACCTAGAGACCACTTTTCTCGATATGGAAAAAAGAAAAAAGAGTAAAACCCTGGCAGAGAGGCGAGCCCAACAGCTCCACACCTCTCAGCCCTTGGAGTTTTCAAGTGTGTTTTATTAACAGGTCTGGGTGCGAATCCCACCTCTGCCATTTGCTAGCTCTGTGATCCTGGGCAGGTGACCCGAGTCCCTGTTTTCCTCCATGTCAAGAGGGGATGGAGGTGGTTTGTACCTCACAAGAGTAAATGACACAGGGCACAGGACATCCCAGCACAGCACGAGGCACGCAGGGACACTTAACACCTGTGAAACACCCCAGGAAGAGGCCAGGGTGACAGCTCAGGAGACAGTGTCGCAATTCAGGGGGGGTCATTTTGGAGTGTGGATCATGAGCTCATGGGAGCTGAGACCCCCATTTGACAGTCCAAGCCAAGGAAAGGGACTGTGTGTGTGGCCTAGGGTCACCTAGGGGTTGGAAAAATACGAACACCATCAAAGGTCTAAAGAAGTGTGCAGCCCAGCCGCCAAGGGGTGTGACGCAATTTCATTTTTCATTGAAAAAAAAGAGGATGAAAGTCTAAATTCTTCAAGACTGAGGCTTAACATCCACGTGATGAAGTTCTGCACTCACAAGGAACTTCATGTTCTCAAAGAACTTTCATGACTTACTGCTCAAGAGGATTTTTCCAGGGGAATTTTTTTTTTTAAACTAAGGCATTCTTAACCAGCTGGGTATTACTATCATCTATCGTCACAGCAATCGTCTATTCAGGATGATCCCAGAGGACACACGGATGACACATGTGCCAGGCATGGTTCTGAGGCTCCGGGCTCAGTATCTCATTTAATCCTCCCTACAAGACAGTAGCAGCAGTCTGATGAGGAAACTGAGGTTCAGAGAGGTCCCACGCCATTCAGCCTGTGATTAATCTTTCAGATAACTCTCCAGGTTGGTTGTGCAGAGGAGGCAACTGAGCCCCACAGGGGTGGTAAGTGATTGAACAGATTGAATATGCACTCACCTTTTGAATGCAACTTCTATGGCTTCCCCACTGCTGGGACTGGGGTCAGTCGCTGGGGTCAGGGTTGCAGAGGGCATCCCCGGAAGGAAGGAAGAGGTGACAAGCTGATCTCTTCCCTCCTCTCCTCCTCAGACCTGTGCAAGGCGTCACCAGGGGGAGCCAAAGGGCCCCAGGTCGTGGGCTCTGGGCACCCACTGCCTGAAGTCCCGCTGCCTGGCTCAGCTTCCCACAGGGCGCAGAGAGCAGAAGTGGCCAGGAGATACTGGGCACCTGGACTCCCGTTACAAGGGCTTGTCAAATAGCCCCAGAATCTTTCCGCGGAGCAGTAAGAATTCCCGCTAACTGACGTCCCCCTCGTTTTCTTCCTTCCATTCATTCCCACGGGATGGTTTCTTAAATGCCTGCTGTGGGGAGTGGCCCCTACAGATCAGCCGAGAGCCCTGCCCCTGGAGCACCCCAAGTCTGGGAAGAGACAGAGGTGAACCCAGGGTGAGGGGGCTCTAATGAGGGAGTCCAGGGGTCTCCAGGAGCCCCGAGGAGAACCCACATCCAGCTGGGGGGCAGGGACTGGGAAGCAGGCAGACAGGGCTGAGCCTTGTGAAGAGGGAACAAAAGAGACTCCTGGCAGAGGGGGCCTTCAGGCTCGGTGTGAAGGGCAGGACCTCTGCGGGGCTCTCTTTGTCCAAGATTTACCAAGGCCAAGACTGTGGAGGAGGGGCAGGAGCCTTGTTTGCAAAGAGCTCTTGGTTGCAGAGAGCCCCTGTTCTTTTGGAAGGTGATGGCGGCCACGGGTGTTTCCCCTGAAGTCAGGGAGGCTCGCCCTCTGGCCTCCACTCTCCTGGCTCAGCCTCTCAGGCCTCTGCTCCAGGGGCAGGAGCTCCCCAGCTGGGGTCCTGGCATTCCCGTTCTCACCCCACCCCCCACCTCACCCCGGTACAGACACTTCAGCCCTCCATCAGGGTACTGTCACCTGCTGCACAGTGCGCTACAGCTTTGGTGCTTCCGGAACATTCGCTTACTCACTTTCTTGCTTGGTCTTCACCTTCTCTCCATCTACCCTTCCTCGTCCATCAGGAAACCCCCCCCCCACACACACACACACTGCTTAGTGCCCAGCTCCAGGTCACCAGACCCAGGAGGCCTCTCTGACTGCCTCCTGGGGTAGAAGTGACCTCCTCTCTCTGTGTCCCGTAAGCCACTTCCTAGAGAGCATGCCTGAGGGACTTAGAGGTGTGTCTTCACACCCCTCAGCCCCAGTCTCCTAACTCTGCCACATGGACCACATCTCCTTCTAGAAGGAACCACTTATTCTCCATCCACACACCTCAGAGGAGGCTAGCTCACTAGCACACCTGACCTGAGCAATTACTTGGGGGCAGGCTGGGGATGAGAACTTCGTATGGGTGAGAGGCCCCCGTGGGCTGTGGGGTCACAGTCAAAAAGGCCATCACCTGTCACCACCTCTGCCTTGATTTGGGGAGACAGAGCCTGGGAGGTTTCCTTGCTGCTATCAAGCTTGGGGGAACTGGCCCAGGGTGAGAACCCCTGATGAACAGGCACACAAAAGAGCATTATTTCTAGTAAGTCAGGGGTCCCTGAAAGGCCCCTCAAAACACATTCATTGTCCCATGCACAAGATAATAGGTGGTTCTGGGGGAGAAAGCCAAAGCCGTACAAAATAAAACCCTGGAGCAGGGTCTCCACAATTAAAGCACCAGTCAGGAGTGACCCCGCCAAAGGAAAGTGTGAAGTGATGGGGTGGAACTGGGGCTTAGTGGAGACCAGAAGCAGTGCTTCCTGCCTCTCTGATCCTCTCTGGTCCCCTCACCTGGGATGTGACTAGCCTCAGGCACAGGGCCAGTGCCGGAAGCTGGTGCTAAGCCAGGTGGGAGCAAGAGCTGGCAGGACACAGATTTAGATTTCCAGGCTGAGGAGATGCCTAGAGGGTGTGTGTGTGAGTGTGTGCGGGAGGGTGTGCGCAGGGGCAGGGAGGAGAGCTGGTGTGGGGGGCAACATGGGGTGAAACTGGTGCAGGCCGAGTGGACAAAAAGAGAAGTCTTGTCTTTGAGTCGAGCCGGGAGAGCAGGAGAAGAAAAAAGGAGCTCTTATTGGTGGTTGTCAAGGAGATGGGCCTTGGGGTTTGCTGAACTTTCTTCCCTTTTAGCGTCCTGCCTGGAGCTGAGAGGGGCCATTTATTTCCAACAGCGCCTCGCGGGCGGTCCGCGCCAGGCTCCAAGGCCGAGGGCGTCAGGTGGAGACCCCAGGGCAGACCCAAGCAGCTATGATGCCCCTCCCGCCTTGGCTACCGCCCCGCCGGGCTTGTCACTGGGAGGCCCAGGCCTGGCATTGGCCGATAGCAAGCCTCGCTGGCCAGGGCAGCCCTGCACGGTGGCGGTGCCTTGCGGGCTAAATGCAAGCAGCCTGTCAGCCACCGTGTTGTCGCGGGGGTCCTGCGGCTGTCCCATGACAAGCACACTTAAGAATCATTGCCCTTTGGAGAGTGGTAGAAAGTTCATTTGCTTTGAAGGTAAATTTTGAAACCATTTCCGCGAGTTTTTCCAAGTCCAGCTTGTTCGATGCTGCCTGGGCAGCGCTTGGCACCCAGTAGGTGCTCAGTAAAGGTCGCCAGAATGGCCCCGCGGACAAGGCATTGCTTTCACTGCTAAAGAACGCCGCGGGGCCCTTCGCGACCTGTTCGAAAGACCCCCACTCGCTCCGGCGTGCGAGAGCTGGGAGAGGAGGGTGCTGCCCCCAGAGGGGCGGCCACCCTGGACGACGGGGACTAGGGGTAGGGGCCCAAGAGCCTGCAGCCTCCAAACGAGGATGGGCAGAGACCCCGCACCCACAACCCGCAAGCAGGCTCCGGGCCCCCACCCCCCACCTGCCGCCCGCCCCGAGGGGAGGGGCGGCTCCGGACGCCCCCGCCCGCCCCCGCCCGCCACGCCCCCGCGGGCCGGCGCCCCACGCCCATTGGCCGTCCTCGCGAGACGCCCCGCCCCCTGGGGCCGCGGGCCAATGAGCGCACGGCTGTCAGCTCGTCAGCCGCCGGCTCGGTGGCTCGGGAGCCCGAGCGGTGGCCGAACAGCGAGCAGCTAGGAGCGCTCGCGGAGCGGCCGGTCGGTGGGTCCCGCGCCCGGCACGCCCGCACGCCCGGCCCGGCCCGGCCCGCAGCGATCATGGGCGCGGCGGAGGTGCGCTGGCACTTGTGCGTGCTGCTCGCCCTGGGCACGCGCGGGCCGCTGGCGGGGGGCAGCGGGCTCCCAGGTAAGCGCCGGGCCGGGGGACGGCGGGCGCCGGGGCGGGGGGGGGGCTGAGGCGCGGTCCCAGCGGGCCCCCACCCGCGCCGTCGGAGGCCGCGGCCCGCGCCGCCCCGCGCCCGCTGTGCCTCTCTGCAAAGTAACTTCTGAGGCCGACCCGGGGCGCCCCCTCCCCGCGGCCGGGCTGGTCCGGGGCTCCTGGAGCCCAGAGGGGGCCGCAGCAGGGGCGGGGTGGGCTGAGGCCCGGGGAGGGGAAGCGTGGGGCGGGAGGAAGAAAGAAAGCGCGGTGGCTGGCCGAGGGGCACCCTGCGTGCGGACCGAAGTGGGGCGGGGACCCCGGAGCTGAGAAGGGGCTCCCCAGGGAAGAGGGGAGCGGGCCGAAGGGAGGCCGGCGAGGAGACGGGAGGAGGTGAATGAGGGGAAAAGAATGGACAGAAAGAGGGAGGGGATAGAGGGACAGACGGACAGTAAAGGGGGTTTAGAGGGAACAGACAAAAGGACACAGGGCGAAGCCCAGAGAAAGACGCAGAAGGGTCGAAGAGGGAGCCTAACGTCCCAGGGGAAAGGAGGGACGCCAAGGGAGGGAGAAGGAGGCAAAGGGACATAGACAGATCAAAGGAGCTGACTGTGGCATGGACTACCCGAAGGAAAAGGAGGAGAGGTGGAGACAGATGGACACCAGAGAAAGCGACAGGAGGACGGGAAGGGAGGCACACTGGGAAGGACAGGGAAAGAGCAAGGATGGAGATGCCTGGCAAGACAGACATATGGACAGTGGGGAAGGAGAGAAGAGAGGAATGAGAATGCACCCAGAGCAGACCACAGGCACGGGAAGGTGAATGGGACCCAGAGGGAGACTGACATGGACCTCAGTGATGAGGACATCTGTAAAGAGAGGCAGGAGACACAGGAGGGAGTGGCCATGGTCAGGGCGGTCAGGCAGGCAGCGGAGGCGAGGTGGGGTGCCAAGTGGACTTCATAGGGACTCTGCCTCCCTCCCTGTCTTCTGGTCCTCTCTGGTTGCCTGAAAGGGGCTCTCAGGCAAGGCTGGAGTCACATTCTCTCCTTGGGTCTTCAGAGGGGCTCTCTCCCTGGGGAAGGGTCTTGCCTGCCCTGCTTCCTGTGCCTCCTGTGCATGGAACTGGGTTCCATGAGAAATGTGGGGTCTCTTCCTGGGAGTGACACCCTGCATGAGGGTGCCAGACATTTACATTCCACAGCTGGAGGGAGCTTTTCCCACGGACCCATCTTCCAGAAGCTGGGCTTTGTTGCCCACGCCCCTACATGTATGTGGGGGTCTCTCTCCAGTTTTGGAGTCCAATGCCCCTGTGGGACCATTCCCTTGTACCCATCTTTCCCTTCTGGTGTCTCTCTGTCTTCCTCTGTGTCCTGTCTCTGGCCCTCTTCTCCCCTCCATGGAAGCCCAGTGACTGAAATCCCAGCAGTTGGTCCCCAGCGTAAGAGAACCGTAATCAAAGTGAGCAGCCTGTGCTGGAGGGCAAGTTGCCCTGCACAGGGTTCTGCCACCCAGGTCAGGCAGAGTACGTAGCTTTGTGCGCAGAAAGCCCTGACCTGGGCTCTCCTGCTTTCTCCTCATCTCCCACCTAAGGTCATGTTTGTTATGTGGTGTGTTGGCAGACAGCCCCACCCACCCCTTGCCAACATGCATCTGTTCTCATCCTGATGAGGATGCATGCCCAGGTGGGAGATGGGGGTTAGAGGTGGGCACCAGACCCAAGAGCCCCGGGCAGTTTCCTGTCCCTCATTCCCATACACTCACCCTTGGGAAGCAGGAAGAGCCATACCCGTGGCCTGATGCCCCTGTTTGACTGCTCCCAGAAGTGGCCCTGGACATTGGCCCTGGCCTGTGATTGCCTGCCAGCTCCCTTCCCTACTTCCCTGGGGCAGCTGTGAAGGGTGGGTTGCCACCTCAGCAGATCCTGCCACCCTCAGAAGCAATGCCTCTGTGTGTGCACGCGTGCGTGTGTGTGTGCGCGTGCATGCGCATGAGGTCATTCTGTTGTGTTTTGGTTTGATGCCTCTCTTGTCCCAGGGGTGTGCTGGAACCTTGGGGGCTGGGGTTGAAGAAAAGGAGTCCTGCAGGGGGAGGGGGAATAGCTCAGGGACCCCCTACCTGCAGATTTAGAATCCAAATGCCAGCCAGGGAAGTAATTCAAAGTGGGCATTTTGGGGGACCAGAAAATCTAGGGTGAGTCCAGAGGCATGAAGAGGCAGGGATATTCTACCCTTTCTCTGGCTTTCCTGGGTCCTTCTGTCGTCTGCCTTCCATCTGTATTTTCTCATAGCCAGCTGGGTGAACAAGCCAGGTGAGCTTGTTCTATGTCAGAGTCTAGTCTCTCCCCTAAGGAGCAAGTAACCTATAGCACCATGCTGGGTGCTCTGGCCCCTCCCTCATCTAAACCCAAGAAATTGCCTGTGCCCCGGGATCCTCTCCCTGTGTGTGTGAGAAAGTGTGTTCAAGTGCATACACGGGAGCTGTTTTGCATCATGTTCCTGACGAGGTGTGTGTGTGCCTTGAGGGCTGAGGTGGGGAGTGCCAGGAGTTCTCTGAACCCAGGCTGAACTTGAATCTGAAATCGGGTTGCAAGAACCAGTTTCCCACCTAGGTTTTTGAGGAAGGGAAGAGGGTATGGGGATCAGAAGCATCTACAAGCCTGGGTTAGCCTAGTTAAACATCAGTTCTGCCCCAGTCTGGACTCCAGTCTGGGAGTGTGGAAGCCAGATAAGTAGCCCATAGGCTACAGCTGGTGGGATTCGGTGTCACATCCCCTGCAGGAGTTCTTGGGATGGTCTCTGCTCTCTGCTCTCCCACGTTGGTCTCCCCATCTGGGGGATTTGAACTCCTCCAAGGGCCCTTCTGGCTCTAAATTCTAGAATAAGGAGAGTGGAAGAGGATTGGAGCCATGTTTGTGGGGAGAGCAAGACACACAAAGATCCTCAAGTTGTCCCTAATCCTCAATTTCCCCATCTTTTTATCATGAAAATCAGTGATCCCTAATATGTTGGTAGCCGTATGCATGGCCCAGAGCAGCTTCCCAGGATGTTACCAGATTGTCATGTGGCAACTGTGATTGTCAGTTACCTCAGTGATCAGAAGAAGGGCTGGGGCAGGAGCTCCCCCCACCACCAGGGGCTGCTGCTTACCCAACCACACTTACCTGTTGCTCCTCCACCCACAGGGACAGTGGACATAGACGAGTGCTCAGAGGGAACAGATGACTGCCACATCGACGCCATCTGCCAGAACACACCCAAGTCCTACAAATGCCTCTGCAAACCAGGCTACAAGGGGGAAGGCAGGCAGTGTGAAGGTGAGTCTTCCCAGCCCTCCCAGCCAGACCCTATGCCTGCCAGGGACAAAGTAGGTGGCAGATGTCCACCCCCCATAATGCCAGCCAGGACTGAGCCCACAGCCCTGCTGCCATGGGCATGGACACCCAGCCTCCTCTCAGCCTTCTCCTCCCTGGAATGCAGGCTGCTTCCTGGGGGGAGGAGGGTTGGGGGTGGAAGTTGGAGACACAGGGTGCCTGATTCTCACCCGGTTTTAGACTTTTGTTTTTTTGAAAGAAATCAAGGGGAAGCATCTTATATTGATTTAATATCTGTCCCTAACTAGATGTGGGGTGAGAAGAGCCTAGGGTCCCCACTCCTCCTAACTCCAAACCAAAACCACCTGCATGGCCTGGAGCTCCCTCAAGGGACCGCAGAGCCCTCCACAGCTGGGAACTGGCTCAGGTCTCCTGGCTCAGGCTGCCGGGCTTGGGCAGAGACTATGGATTGTGCCGTTTGTCTGTCTGTCCAGCCTCTCCTCCCTGCCTGGGGGTGCTGGTTTGAATATCTGGCACTAGAAACTGGCTCCCTTTGAGCCAGCAGCCTGAGCTGGGCACGGTGACGCACGCCTGGAATCCCAGCAGCTGGGGAGGCTAAGGCAGGAGGATGGCAAGTTCAAAACCAGCACTGGCAACTTGGCAAGGCCCGAGAAACCTGGCAAGACCCTGTCTCAAAAATAAAAAGTAAATAAATGGGCTGGGGTTGTGGCTCAGAGGTACAGCCCTTGCCTAGCACCACATAAAAAAATAAATAAAGGTATTGTGTCCACCTATAACTGAAATAAATAAATAAATAGACTTTTTAAAAAATAAATAAGTGAATAAAAAGGGCTGGGGATGAGGCTCAGTGATTAAGTGCCTCAGGGTTCAATCCCTAGGACCAAAAAAAAAAAAAAAAAGGCCCAGCCTTGGTGGTGTCGGGAACCAGGGCTCTCTGGGGCAGACGGAACCTTTACCATCACCATGAGGGTCTGTGGGGCCACCCTGACCATGGGTCTAGGGCAGAGCTTGGCCTGGCGTGCAGGTGCTGGAAGCAGCTCTTGCCACACCTGATGTGAAGTCACTGACCCAAATCCTCCCTGTCTGCTGCTGTCGTACAGATGAGGAAAGAGGCATCTTTGACAATGTCCCCAAGTTTCATAGTGACATGGCAAGGACTGAAATCCAGGCCTTCTAATTCCCACTCAGCCAGTCTCTAGTGTCTCATTTTCTTCTCCCCGAACCCTGCCAGCTTGGCCTTTCAAAGTGTGAGGTTTGTGTCAGGAACACGCTAGTGAAAATGACGGGTGCTACTCTTTCTGTGCCAGACTCTGCAGAGGCCGAAGTTTTAAAGGACGTGGCAATGCCACCTTCAGATGCTGAGGTTGTTTATCCATCTCATTTATTGAGCATCTGCTCAAGGCCGAGTGTTGGGCAGATGAGGTCTTCCTGGATCAAGCCTGGTTTGGGCAAATCCCTGGCTTACTCGGGGCCCAGAAGCTAAAGAGGGGAAGCTAGTGCCTTCCCACCGAACTGTGGACAATGCCAGGCTGACAGCAGGGAAAGCAGGTCACGAGCAAGAAGTGAGAGGGATGGGCTGCCCAGCTGCTGGCAGGGCCTGGAGGTTAGCTCAGTGGTTCCAATGTGTAGCTTGGTGTGACCACTTTCTGACTCTCTGCTGGGCACCCCAGACCCAGTGCCCTGCAAAAGGAAGGCCATGGTTGGCACCCCCAACACCCATGGTCTCTTCCCACCTTACGCCACTGACCGGGCCTCTTCCTCTCCCAGCCTAGACCCTAAGCTGCCGTCCCTCCCTGCTCTGAGGCCCACATTTCTTCCTCTCGCCTATTCCCCTGAAGCCTTTCGGAGTCCAGTTGAGCTCCCCCCCCCCACCCCCGGCCTGAGCTAGGGGTCCGACTCCAGCTCCGGCTCTTGTTGACTTTGTGGGCCTCGTTCCTCCTGGGGAGGAGGGAGGAGGTCGGGTTGCCCCTCTGATGTGAGGAGGAGGCTGTGCCTTGCTGCTGGAGCTACAATGCCTCTCCAGGGCTCCAGCCTCTGCCCTTCACTTCCCGAAACTTCAAAGCCCCAACACTCACGCGCTGGGATCGTCCGTGTTTCCGAGTCCCTGTTTCTCTCCTCCTGCCAAAGCTCCTGTCCTCTTTTTGTGTCCAGGATAAATCTAAAGGTGGATCATTCTTTAATTTACCTCCTCCAGGAAACCTTCCCTGATAACCTCCTCTCTCTCTGTTACACACGTGTGTGTTCCTGTGTGCGTGCACACACACACACACACACACACACACACACACACACTCTCTCTCTCTCTCTCACACCATGCAGTAAGTACCCATTAGCTTCCCGGAGGCCCCTAGGGGTCCCGTCATTGCTGTTCTGACTCTGGGTTATAATGGTGCATCTTGCTCCCCAGTGAATCAAGCATGTGACATCCCCACACGGAAGCTGTCAGACTCAGCTCACGGTGAGCTCCTCAGCTACAGAGAGCCTGGCATGTCTGTCCTGTGCCTCCAGCTCCTGGGGCAGAGCCTGGCACAGCATGGGCATGCTGGATGTGTTGGTCTGAGTTGGCTCTTGATGGCCCAGGCTGGAGCTCTTCCTGGACCAGTCGCCTGTGAGAGCAAGTGTTGGCTGAGAAGCATGGAGCACAGGGTGTCTGGGGGTCTCCTTCCTGCCATGTCGACTTGACCCTGTGTCATGCACAAGAGCTGGGAGAGGCCTGGCCTCTGCATGGAGAGATGGCTGCAGCCACCTCTGAAGTGGACATTTAGGGGGTGGCTTGTCCTCCCCAAGCCTGTTTCTCCTTTAGTTTGGGGGGGCCTAAAATACTCCCTGCCACAGCTGGTCCTGGAGACTGAGATGCAGTACGGTATACTGGGACCCGCCTGCCTCGCAACCTGGCTCCCCATGGGCATCAGTATACAGTATGTGCTCAATATGCAGATGAAGATGTCACTACCACCACCACCATCCTCTGTTCCCACTACTTCTCAAAGAGGTCACAGGCTCTGCTGCAATTAGGAACAAGGAAGACCTTTGAAATCCTGCATGCAACAGAGGTGATGGTCATGGTCCTGTCTGTTCCTGCCCTGCAGGAGCTTGTCGGCTCGTGGTGTTGCACGGACTGAAGTTATTTATCCGTGGACATTCTTGTTAGCAGGTTTAGGATAATACCAGGGGTGCACCCGTGCCTGTTGATCGGCCTCATCAATGGTACATAGAATGACTGTTAGGAACAAAGAGCAGGATGCCGTTTGGTCACTTGCTCCCTAAACCCTCATGAGTGAACCCCCACATGCTAGTGTGGGTTCCAGAGTCCTGAGTGGACCCTATCCTACTTACATGAGGTATTCTTATTCCTGGGGACCACCCAGAGTTCTCAGTTGGTACTGACACATCCTGCTGGAGCCTTCCCCAAGGACCACCAGAACCCTCTCTGGCTTCCCCTGGAGGACTGTGCAGAGACTTCCAGGGCCTTGGAGACCACCTAGATGCTCATCTCCTTGCTTTACAGATGGGAAAATGGAGGCCAGTGAGGGTGGAGGTCTAATGGGGTTGGGACAAGAGCCCAGGTGTGGTGGGCCATTTCTCCATGCTGTGTCTATATGTGATTATGACCATGTGTCCCTTTTTGCTCCAAGAAGAGGAATGCACAGTCCTTATTCAGCTAAAGAGAGAAGGTAAAGCATGGACTCAGAGCCAGACTGCATAGGTTCAAATCTGGGCTGGGTAGCCTGGGCAACTTACTTAAGCTCCATTTTTTATTTATAAAATGGACATGCTACTAGTTCCTGCTTCCTGAGGGTTAAATGAGCTAATGTATTAACAATACTTTAACATCACCTGGCACATAGGACATCCCATATAAGTACGAGCTGCTGTTACTGTGATCATGATATTGATGGTGGTGGTGATGATAAGGGTGATGTTTGCTGTTGATAGTGATGATTGTGGTGATATTGTTAATGATGATGGTGATGTTGATGGTGAAGGTGGTGGTGAAAGTGGTGGTGATGGTGGTGGTGGTGGTGATGGGGTTGGAGGAGGTAATGGTGGAGGTGGTGATGATAGTGATGATGAAGATAGTGATGGTGATGTTGAAGGTGAAGGTGGTGGTGGAGGTGATGGTGAAGGTGGTGATGGTGATGGTGAAGGTGATGGTGATGGTGAAGGTGGTGGTTATGGTGACCATGATGTTGACAGTGATGTTGATGAGGGTGTCTTTGATATTGGTCATCCTTATAGTTTATGTTGATGAGTGTAAGTCAATGATCATAAATGTTGTGATCAAAATCTAAATAGAGATAAAGGTTTTGTCTTTTTCCACCAATCTCCAGGACCTAAAATGGCTGGGAAAAGAGGCTTGTTGGTTCCTTGACTGTTCATATAAATCCATGCATACATCCAATTCCCCATAGCGATGTGTGGACCTGCAGCATCTGCAGATGACCATCTACCTAGAAGATGCAAGTTAAAACACACAGACAGGCTTTCCTACGTGCGCCTGAACCTACTTCAGGAGTAACAAACATGCTTCCACCTTCCTTTACTGCAGACATCAGTAATTGATCCACGCCCTCCACGTGGTCATTTCCAGGGTTGAGGAAACCCATTTTCCCTCCCTGGGCTGCTGCATCTGGAGGCCCTGAGCTGGAGGGGGGCCTGCAGAGGTCAGAGTCTTGGGGGGATGAGCCCCCATTCTACACATCCCATAGGCTTTGCTGTTTATTGTGATGAACCCAGAGGATGGATTCTCAGTGAAGCGTGCCCTGGGAATGTGGCTTCCACGATCTCCCTGGTTCTTCATGGGAGACAGAGCCAGGTGGTGGGGAAGCCCTGCATGGGGCTGTGTGAGCCTCTTCTGTCCTTGACAGTGTTACCGTGGGACTTCTGCTGGTTGTGAAACACTTGTCAGAAAACTCAGTACCAGAGGCAACCCACCCACATTCTGGGAAGAGCTGCACCTTTAAGACCATCTTGCTGTGTGG